ATAGTTACTATTGAACTTGAATAGGAAGTCATATACTGGCAATCTAAGTGTGACCTTGAAATTGACCTTTGACCTACTTATAATCATGAACTGAACTCTGCTAATTTCTTTCTCTTTTAACTCCAAACCTGGCAGAGATAGGTCCATAGTTACTATTGAAGTTGAATAGGAAGTCATATACTGGCAATTTACTGTGACCTTGAAATTGACCTTTGACCTACCTTACGATGAACTTAATTTTGATTGTACCATTTTAAGTTGTATATATTTTTTGCGTATTTTGAAAATTCTTGTTGATTGCATTTTTATAGCTTGTCAAGCATAAGACTGGTGGCTGTGTCTCTTATTTTGTGTATGTGGGGGTCTATACGAATGCGCTTGCTCCAGCTGGTGGTACAATATTCGGAGGCGGTATCGCCTCTCTGATCCTCTAGTTTTTATTTATTTTTTTTTGTTTCAGTTTACATATCTAGTAGGAGGGTGTTTTGTTATTGGGGCGTGTGCCTGGTGCTATTTCATTACACAACATTCTCCACATAAAGAGTGGCAGGTGATAGCTGCCAGTGTTTTACTGGGAGCTGGAAGTACAACAATGCTTATCACCTCGCTGGCCATGACCTCTGACCTCATCGGTGAAAATACAGTATGTGTCCTTTATAGGGTGTTTTCTTTGTTAACCTTAGATATAACATTTGTGGTATTTTTATGAATGAAAAAAGTGGTGAAGCTATATTTTTCCGTCTGCATTACATTAAATGTCAGTTTGACCTGAACCCCAGGCATGCCAGAAAGGGTCCTTATTTTTTATTGATGCCAATATTTTTAGTAATAATACACTGTAATTACTTGAATAAATTGGATCAATCTTGTAAAAATGAAATAAGATGAAAGAGTGAGTTGTTTGAAAATTTTACCATAATATTATATGGAGTTAAAACAGATCTCCCAGGAATGATAATAATCCATTTTGTTCTGTATTTTTTATAGGAGAGTGGTGCTTTTGTCTATGGTTTCATGAGTCTGCTGGACAAGTGTGCCAATGGGGCGGCTGTCATGGTAGTACAGGCTCTACATCCTTGCACGTACGTGTTTTATGAACTGACACTGTTTCTGGACCTATCCCATTTACCTGTGTCATCTTTTGTGGCCAATCTCTTCCCTGGAGTTTTAAGTCATGAATTAAATATATGCATAAGAGTGAATTCAGAACAGTGGATTAACAGATCTGCAGATCAAATATGGCGACCCACTGAAAAGCTTGCCACTTAATTCAGGATTAGACACTGAATAGATTTCCTGCAGGAATAAGGCAACAAGCATTCAGGTGGGTCAGCCATATTTGATCTGCAGATCTATTAGTCCCCTGTTCTGAATGATCTCTAAGGAAAAGCTTGTTACCTGTTATTCTTAAACTCAAATTAATGATTCATTGGAATACAATACATTTAAGGTTTGAAAACCAGCCTGTGAAGACTATTTTTTTTCTATTGCAGGAATCTGGGAGTTGCCTGCTGTCCTGCATGTACTGTATTCTACCAGAGAGTGATCTCTTTTGTTCCTGGTGGGTTTGCTATTCTGGCATTATTAAATCTTTTGGCATTATTCCCACAGAAGATAGGGACCAGGAGGAAGCAAGGTAAACACACACACTCTAATGATTCTATATAAGAAGTAATATCACACAGAGAGTCGGGTGATATTTTAAAATCCTTTGGTCTAAAGGACTGTGTATTTTTTTCAGAAAAAAAATTTTGATTTTTTTTTAATTAGAAATGAAAGAATTTTTTCTGTCTTGTTATTTGAATGAAATTATAATTCCAGTGGAGAAGAGAATGAAATCTATCCGCAACACAGGTAGGAGTGGAAGAGAGTCACATTCGCCGAGTTTCTGTCAACAAAACTATGAAGTCTGTCCCAGCGGCCATGAACATCATAGTTGGGTCCTTCCTGGCAATGCTGCTGAGCAAGCTGTTATCTATGACACGCCACATTCCTCCAGGCGACCTAGCTTCTATCTGTCCAATTCTGTGTCTGGGGAAAATGATTCTTCATCACAAAATAATAGAGGGGGTAATTATGGTACTTCACCCAGGTATGATACCTCGAGTCATTCAGTACCTGGTCATATACAGGGTCGAGGCGGTAAAATGTCCAATGAAAGTCCAGGCTCCCCTGAAAGTAATGATGTTACATTTCAAGTGGGAGCTACTCCTTCTGTCTAACAGATTGTACAGTCTGCAAATATTGGAGCTTATTTTATGTATTGTTAAAAACATGAACAAAATTGATAAATTGAATTTCCAAAGACAATGTCTTCTTTGTTAAACTTAAAAAAGGTGGTTTGAAAGTTATGAAAAGCCAAATAATGTTAAGTCAGAAAGTGTTTTTGCTTTATTATGAGAAGGAAGAAAACTAGAAATAAGAAATTTTGAAGAAAAAAATGTGGTTTCTGTGAAACTTTGATGTTAGGTTTAATTAATATTATTCGATAACTTTTTTGACTGAACAAAAGGTATTTATTCAAGCCATTAACTTTCAAAGTCATCATTTGTTATATTTGTTGTTTTATGAGATAAAATTATTTTTCTTCCACTCTGACTGAGATATAACATCCATTGTGCTATCAAGTTATATTTTACTGTTATAATTTTAATTATTCTGTTTTAATTTGAAGCAAATTTGGAACTCATTTCAGAAGTACCAATTTTCTTGTTTTCTCTTACTGTTACAGTATAATTTAATTCAATTGTTTGGGACCAGTCTTTTGTCAGAGGTTCACTCCAAGAGTTTAGTAGTCCACATAAGCATAAGCAGGACATATCATTGTGGCACAAACATTGTGGGCTGATCCGGTAAAATGCATCACATTATTTGAATTATTCATTTTTGCCAAGTTCTTCTGATATCACATTAGAGGCCATTCAGAACAGAAGATCCGAGAATCTACTGATCCATGGATCAGATAAGGCAGACCCCACATGAAAAAATAGCTGAGTTTTATGAGGGATCTAGCAATTAAATCTTGGGGCCATGATTTAATCCGTTTAATGGTGCATGCAGAGGCGGGGAGACCATCAGCGAGTTAGTTGGCTCTTCTTTCTTGTAAGGTCTGCCATATTTGATCCATGGGTCAGTAGATCTTCTGTTCTGTTCTTAGACTATAGTAGGTATAAACAGTTGTATCACTACTTATATATAATTAATTATGATTTTGGAGACATTTGAATCTTACATAGTGTGAAACAATGATAGTGTATTTGTTAAATGTGTTAAGATAACAAAACAATTGAAAAATACAAATTAGTTTTTGAATGAGTGAAAATGGTTTGAGGTAAGCCGATTTCCTGATTTCCTAACCTCACAGCTTTTTATTCCCATTTATTCT